AGAGAGAGAGAGAGAGAGAGAGACAGAGACAGAGAAAGAGACAGAAAGGGGGAGATAGACAGAAAGAGAGAGAGACAAGGAGAGAGAGACAGAGAGAGAGAGCAAGAGAGAGAAAGAAAGAGAGAGAAAGACAACTCACTTGTTGTAAGAGTTGAGAAGCACCACAATGCCGACTAGCGCCACCACAAAGACCACTCCCGCGACCACCAAAAACGCCACCCAGGGGTCATCTGTCCACCAGGTGTAGGACTTGGTCTTCGTCCGGAGCTCCGCGCCAATGTTCAGGGCACTGCGGACTTCCTCAGAGGCTGAGGTGACCAGGGCCAGGTCGTACGGAGGTCGGATGACGAGCGACGCGCCGTTGAGCTGAGCAGAGAGGGCGTTCGCCTTTAGCTGGCTCGCGGAATTTCCGCTTTCAGTCACGCTGCAGATACAAAACAGGCACAGAATTATCTATCTTATCTTATCTTATCTTATCCTACAAGGAACCGTACAAGGAAAGAGAAAGAGAGGAAGGCAGAGAAGGAGATGGGAGGACAACATCATAGAGTGGACAGGGAAGACGATAGGTGACAATCTGAGGGAAGCAGAAGACAAAGAGAAATGGCGAGAGCTGGTTTTCAGATGCAGTGGTGCCCCCACGGTAGCCACAACCACGGGAGAGAGGAAAAAGAAGAAGATCTTATCTTACTTACTTACCCTCTCCCTACACCGTCAGTTACATAAGTCTGAGAGTAGTCGACGCCACGCTAGTCCTGTCCCGAGCCACTTTCTCCAATTTCGGCAATTCTAGACCCTGGGTGATTGCCTCATCTCTTATTGTGCCTCTATAATTTCCAGTTGATCTTCCCCACTTTCTTTTTCCATTTGGTTTCCAAAGCCATGTCTGATAGGGCAATCTCGTCATTAGCGTTCTCAGAACATGTCCCAGATATCTCCATCTTCTCTTATTTATTGTTGTGTTGATGTCTTCAATTCCAGCTCTTTCCAGCACTTCATTATTTTTAATAAATAATAATTCATTCCATTTTATTAGTAAAAGTTTTCGCAGACATTTTGTTTGGAAGCTTTTTAATTTTCGTTGAATTGTTTTGTTTGTTTTACATATCTCTGAACCTTACGTCAATACCGACAAAATATTGCTATGATATATCTTATCATATGACCTTAAAACATGCATCTGAATACCATTGAGTTACAATCAGAATACTGAGTATATATCTAGCTTAACATAGGTACATAATTATCTTATCATATCATAATAATAATATTATGACCTTAAAGCATGCATCAGAATACCACTGAGTGGCGTCAGTGGCCTAGTGGTTAGGCTACCGGATCCGTAATCTCGAGATTGCAGGTTCGGGGGTTCGAGCCTCAACTCGGTCCGACGCTGTGTCCTTGGGAAAGACACTTTACACAAATTTCATGTTTGGCTCGGGCCTTTAGGAGCCAGACGTTAAACTCGGAGGTCCCGCCTCTTAAATAGCCTAACAGTGTTGATAGGGGCGTTAAACCTACATATTAATCATTCACATTCAGTTGAGAAAGTCGGTGGCCTAGTGGTTAGGCTACCGGACGTGTAATCGTGAGGTTGCGGGGTCGGGGATTCGAGCCGTGGGCCGACGTTGTGTCCTTGGTAAAGGCACTTTACACAAATTTTCCTCACTTCACCCAGGTGGGAATGGGTATCTAGCCATAGACAGCGAAAGATCTTGTCAGTTTGTTCGTGTTTTAGCGCCTATAAATGACTGCTTGCACGGTATGCTTCCCAGGAAGTTGAGTTTGTTTTAGAATGCTCTCAGGTCTGCTGGGGTAATAGTATCGATTGTGAAGCGCATAGAGCTTGCTGTTGAGCGGGGGTTTGCGCTATACAAATGCTAGCTATTGTTTATTTAGGGCTTCAACATGTCATCAAAGTGTGAAAATGCCACTTACAGGTCAAGGTCAGTGTTGGGGAAGAGTCGGAACGTGTCCTTTCTCGCCACCACAAAGTAAATGTCCGTTCTGGGGAAAGGAAAACAATAGACAAAAACGGTATTATTATGAAAAAGTGTGTTAAGTGCAAACAAAACTGTATTGATATTATGAAAGAGCGTGTTTTTTGCAGAATAAAACTGCACTGGTATTATGAAAGAGCATGTTACATGCAGAGGAAGTCGTTTATGAGTCGTAACTCGATAGCATTACAGGCTTACGCTTGGGCTTATAATTATTCACTTTTTCTTCATACGAGTGTAACGTACACCTTTGCTTTTATAAGTGATGTTCCAAAGTACTCTTGTTTTAAGCGGAAAAAACTTAGATTTTAGATTTAGGGAGAGATTTACCTACAGTTGCAGTTGCAACTCAAATAGGTTATTTTAAACACAGAAGATTAGAGGTGTTACAAGAGAGTAACAAACATAGAAAAGAAGGAGGAGAGATTAAGGATGGTAGATGTTTGATCAGAAAAAAGGAATAAACTACATCAGAGTGCCTGCCAACCACCCACAAAGACAATAGACGTTCCATAGGAAAGAATGAACAAACCACACCTGAGCACCCACCAACTACCCACGGGTAAATCTAAAAGAACATATAGACAACAGTATGTGTCTTGACACGCTGAAATCAGGCGCTCTTCAATTTTTGTCCCTGTGGAGCTATTGGTATCATCTTAAAGCTTGTTCGTTTGTCTATCTTTCTATGATATATTTGCGATTTAATCGGGTAGGGTCGCCTGGTTCCAGAGGTAAAGTTGCCAGAAAAAGGCCACCCAAATTTGGTGATTTCCACAGTTTGAGAGTCACTGGAAACTGAATTTTTTTTTTCTTTTGTTCCTTTAATCAACGTTTTTCTGTCAAATTCACATAAAAATGTGTGTGTAAATGGAGATAAAAGATGTTGAGCCTCCCCCCCCCCCCCAAAAAAAAAAAAAATCGACGAGGAAAACCAAACCGACAGAAAAATGCCGATTTCATTCTAATTTTGACGAGCGCCTGATTTCACCACAAAGGCTCACATAATAATATGCGTACCCGTCACTGTCAAAGTTCAAACTTGCTCCGTCAAGCTGCAGTTTGGTGCGCACCGTCTCGATGATGACGATGGCGTCTGTGATGACCTGCAGCTCCCTGCGAATCGTTTCCACGATGGGCACAATGTCTTGGGGCTTCCGGTTGTTAATGACGAGAACGAAGCGGTTCGGGTCGCTGATCAGGTTGATCTATGATCATAGAAGAGAAAGAAAACTTTCAGTAACGGTTGGTATAACTAACATTATGATACAATTCTTTTTAAAAACTCACTCACGGCTCTTTGGCACCTGGCACCTTAGAAAAAAGGTAAAAGGGAGTTTATCTGTGAAATGAAAACAGCAGAAGGAACAACATTATATAGCTCATCTTTTTGTACACAGTAAGAATTTAAGAAAAGTTGTTCTGTTGGTTAAAAAGAAATGTTCACCGGTACGATACTGATTCTAAAGCATGTGGGAAAATGAATAACAATAAAGATTTACTGGGGCAAATAAAACTGAATAAGGAAAGAAACAGTTAATTAACAGAGATGAAAACAGTCAAGGAACACATAAGACAAGACAAGACAAGTCAAGACAAGACAAGATAAGACAAAACAAGACAAGACAAGATAAATAAAACAGACAAGACAAGATAAGACAAAACAAGACAAGATAAGACAAAACAAGACAAGATAAGACAAAACAAGACAAGACAAGACAAGATCAAACAAGATAGGATAAAACAAGACAAAAAAGACAAGACAAGATGAGATGAAACAAGACAAGACAACAATTCACAAATCTCCACAACAACCAAAGCCGGCCCATAACACAACACAACACAACACAACACAACTCACGATGACTTGAGTGGTGCGAGAGTTGAAGGGCGTGGCTCCGTCCCTAGCCGTGGCTGTGAGACTGTAGAAGAACGTGCCCTGCTGCTCTGTGGCCAGACTGCGGCTCAACACCAGCTCCTGACCAGTGGTCAGTACAAACGGAGAGCCCGTCGAGATGCTGTAGCTGACCGTTCCGGCCGCGCCCAGGTCAAGGTCAGTGGCCTGAAAACAGATTGAAGAAACGGGTGACAGTTGTAGAAATGTTCTTTTAAGTTGCTGTAAAGAGCATAGAGCATGGATATATGTGATATGTGCAATTATCATTATCATCATCATCATCATCATCATCATCATCATCATCATCATCATCATCATCATCATCATCATCATCATCATCATTGTCATTATTATTATTGCTAATTACACAATTTATACTTATCAATAAAATAGCTGAAAATGTTTCTTTTTTCAGCACAAGAATTAACTGATTCATACTTTTCTTGTGTTATACATAACATATCTCTCTAAAAGAAAAGCGGGGAGATGTTATTAGTACCCCACGATTTTAAGAACACTTCTGTTTCATTTTTTTTCTACTCTTAAAATGTTATTTTAATGTTACACCCCCATTGACACAATTTAGATCAATCAAGCGGTGGGTTTCTGACCTTGTCTTTAGGGCCAATCCCCTTCTCATGAATCATATTTGGGTCTTCCACATGCTACAGCGAGGCGCCTAACCGCTACACCACAAACGCCAGTAAAGAACTGTCTTGGGTGGTTGGCGGGAGCTCTGGTGCGGTTTGCTTCTTCTTTCCTATCAAACATCTATCGTCCTTATCTCCCCTTCTTCTTTTTTATGTTTGTTACTCTCTTGTAACATCTCTAATCTTCTGGCGCTCATATGACCTTAGGCAGTTGCGAGCGCCGTAAAACCTCTACTAAAACTAAACTAACTAAAACGAAAAGAACTGTCGAGAGTTAAAACCCCCGTGGGGAACTCACTTCCAGTTTCCCGGCAGAGGTGCCTGGTGAGGAGCGGTCGCCGATGGCGAAGACGTAAGCGCCAGAGACACCGCTAGGGTAGGTCGGGTACCCCCAAACTGGCACCTCGTCGTTCACATCTTGTACCGTCAGCAGGATAGATGTGGTGCTCCAGGTGTTGGACACTGGTAGGGAGAGAGGAGAGGTGAGGAGGTGAGGTGGGGTGAGATGAGGTGATGTGAGGTGAGATGAGGTTATAGATATAAAGGGATGAGATGAGATGAGATGCAACATCCTGTACCTCCAGCAGGACAGACGTGGTGCTCCAGGTGTTAGATACTGGTGAGGTGAGAGGAGAGGCGGTGAGGTGGGGTGATAGGTAAAAAGGGATGAGATGAGATAAAAAATAAGGTGAGGTGAGGCGAGATGAGATGAGTTGAGGTGAGGTGAGGTGATAGGTAAGAAGGAGGGATGAGATGAGATTAAAATAAGGTGAGGTGAGATGAAATGAAGTGAGGTGAGGTGATAGGTAAGAAGCGATGAAATGAGATAAAAATAAGATGAGGTGAGAGGAGAGGTGAAGTGGGGGGGGGGGGGGAGGAGAGGAGGTGAGGTGAGGTGATAGATATAAAGGGATGAGATAAGATGCCACACCCTGTACCTCTAGCAGGACAGACGTGATGCTCCAGGTGTTTGACACTGGTGGGGTGAGAGGAGAGGGGAGGTGAGACAAGACAAGACAAGTCAAGACAAGACAAGATAAGACAAGACAAGACAAGACAAGATAAGACAAAACAAGACAAGATAAGACAAATGATGTGAAGATAAGAGAAAACAAGACAAGACAAGACAAGATCAAACAAGATAGGATAAAACAAGACAAAAAAGACAAGACAAGATGAGATGAAACAAGACAAGACAACAATTCACAAATCTCCACAACAACCAAAGCCGGCCCATAACACAACACAACACAACACAACACAACTCACGATGACTTGAGTGGTGCGAGAGTTGAAGGGCGTGGCTCCGTCCCTAGCCGTGGCTGTGAGACTGTAGAAGAACGTGCCCTGCTGCTCTGTGGCCAGACTGCGGCTCAACACCAGCTCCTGACCAGTGGTCAGTACAAACGGAGAGCCCGTCGAGATGCTGTAGCTGACCGTTCCGGCCGCGCCCAGGTCAAGGTCAGTGGCCTGAAAACAGATTGAAGAAACGGGTGACAGTTGTAGAAATGTTCTTTTAAGTTGCTGTAAAGAGCATAGAGCATGGATATATGTGATATGTGCAATTATCATTATCATCATCATCATCATCATCATCATCATCATCATCATCATCATCATCATTG